GAGAGAGACAGACAGAGACAGCGAATGTGCACATGGGCACTATTCTTGCTGCCCCCCTGCCATGTGTGACCAAGGTAAGCAAAGTAATATCTGATCAAATTAATCACATAAATTAGGTATAACTTTTGAAAAGTAATTTAATGCCTAGTGTAATGAGAGGTGGCATCCACCTTTTCTTATAAGGAGCATAATATCTCAATCTCTTTCCAACTCAAAACTCAGTTTTCTTCTTTAGAGACAAATATTGAGTTTACTAGAGGCCTGGTACACAAAAATTTGTGCACTCCGGGGTGGGGGGGTCCCTCAGCCCAGACTGTGCCCTCTCACAGTCTCAGACCCCTTGGGGGATGTCCACCTGCTGGCTTAGGCCTGCTCCCCGGGGGAACAGGCCTAAGCTGGCAGTCAGACAATCCCTCTGGCAGTCTGGGAGCCCTCGAGGGATGTCCACTTGCCAGCACGGAGCAGACCTAAGCTGCAGTCAGACAACCTTAGCGCTGCTGAGGAGGCGGGATAGGCGCCCGCCACACGCTGTGCTGGCAGCCATCAGTCTGGCTTGTGGCTGAACAGAGCTCTCCCTGTGGGAGTGCACTGACCACCAGAGGGCAGCTCCTGCATTGAGCGTCTTCCCCCTGGTGATCAGTGTGTACCATAGTGAACAGTGATTCCCAGTCATTCTGCTGTTAGGGTCAGTTTGCATATTGCCCTTTTACTATATAGGAAAGAGGCCTGGTGCATAGGTGGGGGCCGGCTGGTTTGCCCTGAAAGGTGTCCCAGATCAGGGAGGAGGTCCCTTGGGGTGCCTGGCCAGCCTGGGTGAGGGGATGAGGGCTATTTTCAGGCTGGCCACATCCCCTTCAATGTCAGGGTCCCCACTGGGGTTCCTGGCCAGCCTGGGTGAGGGGCTGAGGACCGTTTTCAGGCTGGCAATGCCCCCGGTGACCCAAGCTCTCAGCCTCTCCTTTTTTCTTTATTTTTTCAGCAGGTATCTGGGATTTATTTATCTTCTATAATTGAAACTTTGTAGCCTTGAGTGGAGCCCAGGCCCAGCCAGGGCAGGCTGGAAGCTTGGCTTCCTCCATTGCCAGGAGCAACCCAAGCCTCTTGCTCACTCCAGCTCTGTGGCTGCCCGCTGCCATCTTTGTGACGGAGTGACAGAATGATGGTTAATTTGCATATTACTCTTTTATTAGATACTAGAGGCCCAGCGCACGAAATTCATGAGCAGGTACAGTCCCAAGGCCTGGCCTGTGATCAGGGCCATCTTCCCCAGCTGCCTGCAGCCGGCCCCACCCCCCACCGCCACCCACTGCCAATTTCCCATTCACCATCAGGTGATTAGTGCCTGATGGCTGGGGGAAGGGACTGAGAGGTTGTCTATTCCCGCCCGCTCGCCAGCCCCTCCCCTGCCGTGGGTGGCCATCAGGCAATTGGAGCCTGCTGGCCAGGGAAAGAGACCAAGAGGTGGTCAGTGTGCCTCATAGTGACTGGTCCAGAGGTCATTCTGGTTATTCTGCTGTTAGGGTCAATTTGCATTTTACCCTTTTATTATATAGGAGGATTGCAAATAATTTCTGTGACCTATGTATATATATGAAAGCCTAAGTGACCAAATGACTGAATGAATGAACGACCAGTCAACTGGTCACTATGATGTGCACTGACCAACAGGAGGCAGACACTCAATGCAGGAACTTCCCCTTGCTGGTCAGTATGCTCCCATAGCCAACCTCCCATGGCTGGCCAA